CTCATTTCTAGCAGCAGCCTAACCTGGTATTTTTGATAGGTACAAATGACTCCCTCAGGAACGGAGTTGCGGAATCCCTGATCAGGAGATCTTCAATTCGTGCCTGCAAAAGGCAAGAAGTATTTTAGTAAATTATAGCGTTAAAGCAGATTAAATCTTTCCGCTTGGTCACAGCCTTCCAAATTCCTGTGCTAAGAAAGGCGGCACAAACCTGCAGACGCTCGCTCGTCTCTCGCCTGCCCAGCTGCAGGAATCTCGAGCTTCCCCAGACGAACGCAACCCTTGGACTCGGCGGGAGCCGCGCCAACCTTTGCCCGGCCCGGGGAGGCTGCAGAAGGAGCGGTCAGCCGGGGGCCCGGCCAGCCCAGCCCCCGCCTGGCCGGTTCGCAGCCGGAGCGCCCCGTGCTCAGCGAACGCCGGGCCCGGCCGCACCTCCCGGCCGCGGGCAGCGGCGCTGGAGCCTTCCCGCGGCGCAGGAGCGCTGCCCCAGGCCGTGGGCCTTGATTTCCAACAGCACGAGAGGGGAGGAAAACTACAACTTCCTGTCTGTAAGGTAGAACTCTTAAAAAACCCTGCGCCCTCAGCGGGCAGGAGGGAAGACGTCCGTTTTATATTTTTGCTTAAACCCTTTTATCAGCATACCACATCAAAATCTCTGCCAAATACTTAGGCTGAGGACCGCATAAAAGATATATAACAAACTTGAGGCATCTTGCTCAGAATGTCCTTTAGACTGTTCCAGTGAAAACTTTTACTGGGACAATGGGTCCAGACCTAGAATATTTTGCCCTTAATGAAAGTAATGACAAAATTACTCAATTTTAATATAGATTAAATATATATATATAATTATAATAAGCTCTTAAAATATAAATATAAATAATGGATATAATGTATTAATATATTCTATTTATAAATTTATATAATAATATATATTTATTATAATAAATCTAATATAAAATATATAATAAAATTACTCAAGATTAATATAGAAATATCTTCTGAAACTCCTAATGGAAAAAAAGTAATCTGCCATAGTTGACGTCCTGCTATGACAGAATTAGGAACCTGAAGAAAAAGGAATTTAGGAAAGGCATGCAGAAAACCACCCAATAACCCAACAACCCCCCTCCCCCAACCCAAACAACAATACCTAAAGCATCTTGATTTTAAGTAAATCAGTAAAAAATCTTCTATCACAAAATTTCAGTATTGTTTGTAATATTAAGGACACAAAATTGAAAACGCTATCTTAATCAAATGTTTATTTTAATCAAATAAGGAATTTAGAAAAGGGAAACTATTTCCCCAAGAAACAATTTTTTCCTCTCCAATTTCAGAACAGATGTTAATAAAAGTAATTGACAAACTCTTCTCACTAGAAATCACTAAGTTAAGGTTTTTTTCAAAAAAGAAAAGAGCCCTGTAAAATACATAGAGTTCCCTCTCCTGATTTCTGAGGTGCTGAAGCTTTAGCTCATTGGAATAAAATCAATACAGTGGGAAAGCATTCTTGCTGTGGTTTAACATAGCTGGTTACAGAAATGTCCTCCTGCTCTCTGCAAACAAGATGACAATGCATTTTGCAGATCTGTACTCCTTACTCTTGCTTCAGTTGCCATACTGGAGTGCCAAAACCAAAGACCTATAAACTTCTGTTTCTCCTGCCTGCCTGGTACTCTGAGGGAAGCTCACTGTGGTTGTGAGGCAAGGCAGAGTTTGAAGGTTGTACTTTGCCTTATTATCTGTAGAAAGACAGACTTGAACAATTTAGCATTTGTGAGTTGAACTCCAGTCTAATGCTTGTGCTGAAAGTGAGGGCTGAAGTAGGTTAGTGCTGGACATCCCCAGATCACTTCTGAGGATCTTGTCAGAGTTGTAATCTTGGCCAACCATTTGCTTTAATACAGGATTTAATCTCAATTCTAAATTAGACATTTTTCTAAAATGGGAATTTTTCAAAAGGGAAAGAAAAAATTATTAAAAAAGCATTTGATATAATATGCAGAGTGGTGTCTGGGGCACAGCTAACCCAGAGAACAGACTACACCAGCTAAGCATACTCTGTGCTTTGTGAGCCCAAACTCACTCTGAACAAGTAAATGGAACATGCATCATTATATAATTACATAATATTACCCCCTTTCTTTAATCACCCTGTCCCTTCACACACAGTACCATTTTAAGTGTATTCCATACTATCTATTCAAAGTAGACAGTAGCATACAAGAACTGTGGTACAATTTACTTTATTAAAAATAATTTACAGCATTGGTAACATTTTATGCACAATTTTCATCAATTGAACTTAAGATATATCTATACAATACTTACTGAACTTAAAACTTACACTGTTCTGTTGGCTTTAAACAGCAGACAATGATTTGCAGTTGCTTAAATAGGATTAATATACATAGCTTCTTGTCCTTATACTTAGGTGTAAAATGTATAAACATCAACACTATCCCAGAGCTTTGTAGTTTGGGATAGGGAGGAAGAGGAAAGCAAGAAGAGGAAACATTTACAAAAACTTCAACAAAATTCTCTCCCCAAATCCAAATGGAGAAAGGTCTAGGTTAAATACATCTAACACACTGAGTCACTTGTCAAACAGGAACATGTCCTCCTATGCTTTAGGATACTAAAGAGAGGTCTAATTGAGTGTTTCATGTGTGAGCACAGCAATCCTGACTGTCCTGTGCTCTGCCAGAGGGCTCCTGCCACACCTGCCCACCTATGGCCCTCAGGTCCCAGCAGTGTGTCCAAAGTTAAACGTCTTCATTGGCTGCTGGGCTCTTGAGCTGCACTCTGCAAAAGGGAAAGGGAACAGGGCTGTTCCCATGGGTCACAAGCCTGGTGTTCCCTGCACAGGCAGTTCCCCACCACTGAGCAAGTGGTACATAGGCAGTGCTGTCCCACACAGCACCCCTACCCCAGAGGGTCCAGGTCCAAGGGTAGGAGTGAGCCTGCACACCTCAGAGATGCCACTGACTTGGGCTTGTTTAGAGCTGGACCAGCTGCAGCAGCAATAGGAGCCTCCAGCTGAGCAGTCCCTGTGCCCAAGCACACCACAGAACCTCTCTCTTGTGGACTACAAGACACAGTAATGCAGCAGAATTAAAGCAGCTGCCAAGGTAATGAAGCCCCATGTCTCTAAAAAGAGCTGACTTGCTTTACTGCTGACAGCTTGCAGGTAAATCACATGCCTTGAAATTGCACTTCACCTCATCAGTCTGCCTTGATATGGCTTGGATCCCTGTCTCCTGAAACAAGGAGAGAGAGCAGGGGGCTGTGTTTCCTTCTAGCACAAGCTGTAAATAGGCATGGAGGTACAGTTGTATCATCTGCATGAGGCATCATATGAACCAGCACTAAACTCCCATTTTCTCTGCAATAACATTTTCTTGAACTAAATCAAGAATATACCTTTGAGCTGGGATAAAACAGTATTAGACACTGCTGTACAAGAAGTAGGATCTGCCCAGTCACTTGGGATAGAATTTATGGAAGTGTACCACAGAGCAGGAACTCGTTCAGCATTCACTTGAATACAATATTTAAAACTGCATTGATTTATCCCCCTTAGAAGTGGTAGGAGTCAGTGGAATGATTTTCATCTCACCTAGAAGAAAATCATATCAAACTAGTGAAATATAAAAACAGATTATACAGAGCTTCAAATTTCAGTGAACTCTACCAAAATAGGAAAATATGTATCAAATTTATGTCAATCAAATTAGTTTGGCCTTTGAACTGTCAAAAATTAATACATTATATTGATATAATTATTCAAGAGGCTTGGGGTATTTTGGTTTGGGGGCTTCTTAAAGGAATATCAAACATACTATTTAAGATTTGAACAGTGCATCTGTTAGTTCACAAGTCAACTATCTCAGTGTCTGATTATAAATTTGATATTTAAGACAACATTTGTCAACAACAAAAAACCTTAAAGCAAAATCCTGACGATTTATAGGCAAGTACTGCAGTTTTGCTCTCCAGCAGAAATTAATCTCTACACAAACTAAGTGGAGTTATGAAGCTTTTCAAGACACAGGAGAGCACAGGAAGAGCCTGCTAGAGCTGCAGACTCATTCGCATGGCTCAGACACGACCAAAGCTCTGTGAAGTGGGAACACAAGCCACGCTGCAGCAACTCTGCATCTCCTGCCAATATGAGCTATTGGCTTGGGCTTTACCCTCAGTGGGCTGACAATTCCAGCCACAGCTACTGCAGTGTGGTGAGAGACAGAGGTTTGTCCAGTGCTCTGGGCTCCTTCTCAGAAGGGGACACTCTGTAAGAGCTGGGAGCTGCCAGCACGTAAGAAAGCACTCAAAGGCAATGCGGCCACCTGGCTCTTCAACATCTGACAAGTGTAACATATTAGACATAGGTTGTATTTAAAGCAGAGGAATTTAAACAGCCCTAGCAAATGTTTTAAAAGGTTTTTAAAGGCTAAAACATCATGAGGAGGTACTTTGATAATATTGCAGAGAGCACAATAAAAACATGTCACAAATGACAAAGTGCATCCCTTGAAGCAGAAGTGACAAACTTCAACTGAAGGGTATGAAGAAACATGGCTTAGCCTGCATGAATGAAACTGAGAGATATGTTTTTAAATGCAGAAATGTTTCCCATATTTCTAAGCACACAGTATTTCACATATTTCACAGTTTAAGCAGTTTAAATCTGGATCCAGATGAAATATAATCCCATAAAGGTAAGGAAATCATCATCTGTGATACAGGATACCATGGGCCTCATGTGGACTGCTTTTTATTCAACCCATAACCCAAAGAAATTGAAAACTCAGTATCTTTTCTAAGCTCTGGATGAGGGAAAAAAAAAAAAGAAAAAAAGCTGTATGGCCTTTAAGATTCCATGCCATCTGTTACTCTTAAACCAACAAACAGCAGTACACAGATTTACAGGTCCAAAAACTGAGTGGAAACAACTGCAGAAAATCTTCTTACATAATAATCTTCAGCACAATCAGTTTCAATTTCGCATAGTTTATTTACAAAATGGTCTGATAAAACATCCCCTCCATACTTACAGCTCTCTTGTCACAATACACATGTTGATTTTAGCAATGTTTAATAGCACCATTAGAATATTATTTAAAATCAGAAAGGATCGTGTTGCAGTTACAATGATTCACAATCTTTTACATCCATGGACGAAGTAACTTTGAGCACACTAGGACTGTTTGCAGTTCCACAGTACAGATTCCTGGGCTCACACAAGGCATTTGCTGAGTTAGCAGTTATGCAGGGTACCCAGAGAGTCAGTAGCTACTATAAGAATCTTCGAGCTACAAAGTTTAGACTTCCACCATTCTTGTATAAAGTTATCTCCATATTGTTTTCAAACAAGGCAATCACGCTGAATACTTTTCCAGTGCTTGTCTTCAAAAGAAAAGCAAAAAAGAGAAACCAATTAAGCTTTGCTTTCACTTCCTCTTGCTTATTTCTCAGTCAACATTCTAACCCCATAGTTTTGTTGAACACAAGTGAATTCAACCCTCTGACATGCCTGTACAGCCCCAAGCCTGCTGGGGCCAGATGGAAGGCAGACTTGTTGTAGCACAGTTCAAATGCAGCTGGGAGCACACCAGGGGCCTGTAAGTAACCAACCACGTCCCTGAGATGGCACTGACTGTGTTATGGGCTTGTTAACAGAGCACAGAGAGCTGAAGCTTCTCTCAAATCCTCACACCTATGTGAGACAAACTCAATTCTATCCTAAGACTGAGCCCATGAGGGGCAAAATACTACTCAGAATGATCATGAACATCAGGCTGCATACAAAGTTGTGTACAAAGAACATGTGTACATGTACTTTGGGAAAGCCCCAACAGCCATGACAAACTTCAGGCAGGACTATAAACTATAACCTTCCAAGAGAATTAAGTTTTGTCTTTTCTTGCTTTGCTTCCTATCAACAGAATTGTTTTTTTCCCCTCTGCATCAGAACATTCAACAGAGAAATGAAAAATATTGCAAAGATACCTTAACATCCAAAGTCATTCTGGGTGACAGGTCTGGAGGGAACAATATAGAAAACTGCTCTCTGCCAGTGAGTCCCAAAGTACTTGGATTTTCCCCAGGACGAAACTGAAGTGGAGCAATGCCAATTCCAATCAGCTGACTCCTATGAACCTTCTCATAGCTCTCAGCTAGGACAGCTTTAACACCCTGCAAAAATACAAGCAGAGTGTAACACAGAAGTAACACAGAAGTAACCTTCAAACACCAATTATGTCTAACATCTTGCAATTCAAACTCAAGAGTAGAGAAAGTGCTTTGCACAGAGTCCTTTAAGTACCCTGGTAACATCTTTTAGCTTCCCAACTAGATGGAAGCAAACAAGCCAGAGCAGGCCCATGCAGTGTGAAATGGAGCTTGTAACAGACAGGGACCATGCTGGACTTAACAGGACATGAATCAATGGCAGACTTGGAATATATTCTCAGTATTAGTGGAAATTAGTCTCCAACAATGAGATACGGAATACCTCATGGAGTTCAAACAGAGATCAGCATAGACAAATGACTAATTTGTCTCCAAGTCTGGTATCCAAGACAGTAAATTACATAATGAGGAAGTTCAGATCTATCCTGACTAGTGATTCTATCCTGTGAATATTCTAATGAAGAAATTATACAGTGTGTTTTTAGGTATTTTCAGAAAAAAACCAAAACCATTCCCAAACCCAAACAAACCAGCAGTACCAGTAAAAAAGGCCCTTTTGCAGCCCAGTCTCTTGAGCTACCCAGTCCATACTTCTTTCCTGCTAGAATTATTACAGGAATGCCTTCCTTCTGGTACAGCTCCGCTGCTTCAAACACATCTAGCTGTGGAATGACAAAGTGACACATTTTGAGTGAGTTCTAAATCTACACTCCCCACTCCAGAGCAGCTGTGCAAACAGATTTATTCCTACCGTTTGTCCTGATGGGAAGTGAACTGTTTTAGGAGCTGGCTTTCCAATGAACTTATTCAGAAGCTTGATATTTGCAAAGGTACCTCTTGTCATTACAGCATCATTACCTCTTCGAGCCCCGTAAGAGTTGAATTCACGAGGTGTGAGTCTGGAATAAAAACCAAATTGAAAGAAATCTGTTAAAGATGATCTGATTTAAAAGGATATTATGATTTTTTCTTTTATAATTATTGCAGCATATCTAAGTCTTCAGTGGAAGATGTAAAGAACTAGACCTCCAACAAATGTAATTATTATAAATCATGAACAACATGTTCATGCTAGATTATTCATGAGGAAAGCTGCAATTTTAAATTAATTTTCTACAGTTTTGTTATGAAGTGCTGCAAGCAGTGTGGTACTTACAGAAGAATTATGGGGAGACTGGACTGCTCTAAGAAACAACCCACCTTACTAATCCTCTTACCATTACCAGCACATCTATTAACATGGATTAATTATTTTGCTTTTCCACATGTAGTCTCCCCTTTCTGCAGACAGGCATTTCTAGAGGAAGGTGACAGTGCTGATGAATTTCTCAGCATTTTCTTCCAGGATCTAGAGATATAAAACATATCTGCAGTATAGGAAGGCACCTGGATGGGCAGGCCCCACTCATTCCAGAGACACAAACAATATTTAATAGACTGAGAAATATTAGTGATAATTAAATTTGTTGGTTCAACATTGAAGTGTTTCTGTAATAGCTATTCCTTTACTTAAATGCAATGCATATAATCTAGTGGATAGATCCACTGTACTTACAAGTTTATCAACTTAAATGCAATGCATATAATCTAGTGGATAGATCCACTGTACTTACAAGTTTATCAAAAAAGGAAGGACATCTAATATAAGTAGATTTTAAATCCCAGGGAAATAAAGTTGACTCTGGTGCTTCCAGTAAATTCCATCGTTTGTTTCCTTTCTACAAGGAAGAAAATTAATCAAAAAGAACAGAAGTTAATTTATTGTATTTTTACACTCAAAAACTGAAGACTTACTGGTGATTTTATTAATTGCTGTTATTTAGTAAATAATTTTCTATTACATATTACATCACTGGGTATTATTTAGGAATCACTTTTAAATACAAGTACCCATCTCAGTTAAGCCCTCCATTACAATAACAGAAATAAATGGCAAACCAATCACATTCAACTGCAAGACATTATAAAGCTACAATGAAATGCAACCTTTAAATTATGTAGAACAGTCCACTCTTACCTCCATCTTTTCTTTCAATTCCTTAAACATGGATGATATCACACACTCTTCCTCCACTGTGTGAAGTTCTTGTCGGGTGGGCCAAATATCTCGTAAGTAAATATTTTTGCCATTAAAGCCAGTGCCTGAGTAAGATTTTAAACACAACAGTAGTTTGGAAGAATAAAGTATTAGACTTGAGATCTGTATTAGAATATAGATGTGTATATATTCAGGCTTGCAGAGATGGTACCAGATAGGCAAAGAATTTGATCAGTTAAGTGAATGCCTCGCTTTAGTCATGAGCAAACCAAATATGGCTCTGCTTTCTCTTCAAATATATTGATTCTGGGCACTGAAATCAAGTGTGGAAATCTGTGCCCATGTGCACCAACTGCAGAACCAGAAGCTGTAGGAAAACACTCACCCAAAGGCTCCATGTCAAAATCTATCCTCACAGTGCCCGCGATGGCGTAGGCCACGACCAGCGGAGGGGACGCCAGGTAGTTGGCACGAACACAGTCACACAGGCGGCCCTCAAAGTTCTTTGTGCCAGACAATACCCCACAGGCAATGATATCACCCTGAAAGGCAGACCCAGACACACTGGTCCAGTAGTTTGGGGTTTTTCAACAGCTTATTCTATTTCTGTTGACTAAGTTAAATGTGCTTTTAGCATTCCACTTAAGTATTTAACACTACAAGTGAAAGACATTTTGCTCTCTCTCATTACCCTTCCCATTTTCCCTTTTGAGCCTCTGATGTGCTCTCCTGTCACTTCAGTCAACTCCTCTCCTGCCATTTACTTCTTTTATTTTTCTTCTGCTTCAGAGGAGAAAAAAGCTGTAGTTGTTAGACACAGCTGGTTAAAATTATTCAAGCTCATAGGTCTTTAAAACCCTCCTCTTCACTTATGATACAAAATCTACACACTGCAGCCTCTGCAAGATTAGATCATATGTATTTATCTTATAATTTTTAACTGTATCCTACAAATACTACTTATAACATTTATTTTACATAGCAATGAATTGGCATGATCTTCTAACAAGCAAATATGCTAACATCATGCTAAGTCCAAACCAAAAATGAAGTGTATTTTGCATGGATTACTGTATTTCTTGATTTCTTGACTGGGTGAGAAATAGATTTCTGTGTTCAACAAGCCAGCCAGAGCTTTACCTGTTTGATTGCATTCCTGATGGCTTCTGGCAAAGGGGCCATGTTCCCAACACAGGTGGAACATCCATAACCAACAACCTCAAACCTATAAGGGAAAAAACAATCAAGTTACACATGGTCACAAGCAATTTGCTAACGTAACTGCTTTTTCTTTTATTAACAATATATTTTGTCCCTTGACAGTTAAGACTTTTTAGAAAATTAGAATATAGAAAATTTAGAAAATTTAAAAAGCAGATACTACGTGTCACTGATGCAAACAACAGCTAGGGACTGTTACAGAATACTGAACATATTCTCTTACTGCTACAGAGCATCCAAAAACATACTAAACAACCCTTGACAGCAGCAATGATATGAGAAGACTAATACAGACTGTCCTGACAAATTTGCATTCAGTTTCCACTTTTAAAATACATCAAGTACATCCTGTCCTGCAAGTCACTTAAAATTAAGTAATTTGTGACTGGAATAACAGTTCTGATGTATTAGAGCTACACATCATAAATTTTGACGTGGGGAATACACTGAAGCAGAATAATTTTAAGTCAACAAGTAAATAAAATAGCAATATATTAAATTAGGCATTAGCCAACCCCAAGTGAACAGCAATCCTATTTATCAGCCTGTACAACCTGCACAAACTCACCCCGGGAGCCAGGTCTTACCCAAGCTTGCTGAGGTATGGCAATACTCCACTGGAACTGAGGTAATGTGTAACCATGCCACTGCCAGGTGATAAACTTGTTCTGATGTAGGGCTTCACCATGAGGCCAGCCTCAACAGCTTTTTTGGCCAGGAGTCCTACCAAACAAAAAAGAAAAAAGGACATAGATTATGATTTGTATATCCCTTCGTAAGAGATCTGTATGCTTCTACCTTAGTTAAATCAAGCATAAGAAAACACAGAGGATTAGACAACTTTCAGTTTATTAAACTATTCAAGCAATCACTGGCCTGAATCAGGTTTCTTAATGCATAACAATACCATGCATGGTTTTATTCCCATTCCTGGAACATGGACACCCATTTTACTTTATGACAGATCTCCTTCCCATGTTCTAGCTCACAGTGCCAATCCATTCAGTCTCCAGAGACAGCCCACAGCCCTAAGGGGAAGCTCATCTTGGCCACAGAGGATGTTAAAAAGAGGAGCAAAGTCTGACAGATGAGCTGTTCCAGCAAAATCATGTGCAGCTTGTGAAGGTGTGGCAGATACCCCTGAAGCACTGACAGAATAACTGCTCAGCAGACAGAGTTTCTGTCCTGGCTGTGGCATCACAGCTCATCATCCAGGACATGCTGGAAGCTAAGGCTCACCTCCTGTATCAGCTGTGCCACTGTGTGCATCCACCTGACAGGAGCCCTAGAACTGCTTACCTTCTGTCATACTACTAAATGTAAAGATTTTATAATTACTCTCCTTAATACTGTGTTATGGGACAAACTTAGATTGTATTACGAAAAAGCAACTTTCCCTATATAACCTCCAGAACCTACAAGCTAAGGCTACAAGTCTGCAGTTTCAAACCTGTGAAGAGAACCTACAAAGGTGAAGGTGAGGGCTGTGAAGCATGGAAGCACCATTGAGATGTCTGGTCCCAACATACCTGCAGCAAGCATGACAGATGGATTGCAATTGTTTGTACAGCTGATGACTGCAGCAATGACAACGCAGCCATGGGACAGCTTGTATTCATTTCCTTCATATTGAACAGGCACAACGTCATTCTGCTTCTCAGCTGCAATCTGAAAGCCTTTAACACCAGACTGGATGACAAAAATACATGTTAGCAGTTGTTACAGTACAGAAAAGATGACATTACAGCAAGACCAAGTGAACACTGGCTTTGAAATAATAATCAGCTGTGCCACTAGGAACCCTTACATGATTTTAAAAGCAGCCCTCAATTCATGTCCCTGTCTGTTCACTGGTCTCAGCCTTCTTCCTTCACAACTGCTTTAACTTTGCAACAACTGTGAACAAAGGTCAGTCTATGTGTGGCTGTTCCACAACTATCTTCCTTTATACATGGAAGAACATTCCCTTAAGAATACATGTTTAATCTACACAACACTTGTTCCTGAATTAGAAGCATGTCCAAGATTTTAACTGCAAGAGGGTAACTAAACCAGAGTAGGTCAATTGGCATTTTCCACTTCAGCACTCAAACATCCTCCAGAGGTTCCTGTCAACCTCACCCTTTGTCTTTCACCATCAGCTACAATCTCTCTCTAGCACAACTGAATCACAGTACCACAGGCCTCATTATAAGCTGTTTCTAATACTGCTGCCAGTCTTGAACCTGAACGCTAAATGAAATTAAAATGAAGGTACATTCCTATATTAGGTGCACTCTCCAGACACCTGTGGATATCCCTAACCAAAACCAGCACCTTCTGAGTAAAAACATTCACTCTGTGAATTAAGCTGTAAGCAAAAATCATTTGCTAATGCAGGAACTCAGAACACGCAGCTACAAATATTGGTAGTCTTTCCTCAACCCCTTTAAGGTATGATGAGTTTTCTTAAGGTAAATTCTGTTTTGAAAATTAAGTAATGCACAATTGTCTACAAAAAGCCTGAAGAAATGAAAAAGTTTGCTAAACTCACACTATGGACTACCTAAAGTTCTTTCTCCCTAGCAATCTAAACTGTGAAATGAAGGACTTTGGGAAGATCATGTTCCTGCCAAACACACCTATTATTTACTCTAGGGATGCCTGTCAAGCAAGAACGGTCAAGCACTTGTGTAGCAATAAGGAAGGTTCAGCAGGTATGCAAGGAACAGGTAACATAACATTTATTCATGTGAATGATAGGAAATACCTTCTGAAGCGACCATCAGCAATACAAACCTTTTCATTTAAGCAGGCTTGGAAGTCACTTTTCATGTTATTAACAGCCACTCTATCTTGGGATCTCTTGGGGCCACTGACATACGGAATTATAGAACTTAGACTAACTTGCACTACCTAAGGAACCAAGAAACAGAAAGTGCAGGCATTACCAACCCAGCCCAGCAGTGCATGGAATACATTCCTGAGACACCCAGGAATTCTTGTTCCAAATTTCAATGTTCTCAGACATTTAGAACTCTGGGATTCCATTTTCAACACCACTCACTATAATATTTATATTTATATATATATACTCACTATTCCTCTTATTCTAAATGTTTTAACATTATCCCTAACTTTTCTACCATTCACAGTCCTTGGGATGACTGGAATTCAGTATCTGTATTGACATAATGTTACCATTCTTCCCTTCTTATCCCCACTCCCTCTGTTTTACAAACTCTGCTTTCTCAAAACTGTGAGTTAATAAAAACAACTTTGCTGAAAGCAATGTAAGTTACAGTGGGAGACGAGACTGTGAAATAATCCACAGTTATTTTATGAGAATCAAACAAACAACTCCTTTCAAGCATACCTGGGAATACTCAGGCTCTCTGGAAGAACTCTCATAATCTCTAAATAACTTCACAGCTTTAAGATATGCTTCAGTGACTTCAAGCTTGGCCTTATCAAAACCTAAAGAAGGTAATTTCAAACATGAGAAAAGTCACATTAAAGACATAAATAAAACAAATCACACAACTTTCAGACACTTAGATTGTTTTAAGTGAAAAAAGTATTTTGAATGTTACAAGTACACCACTTCTATATCCCAATGAGACACAAATTAAAACATTTATAAATTATTATATTTTTTTCTAAATTAGCTTCAATTATCTTCTTGTGTCAAGGAACAAAATAAGCTATTCCAGCTCTAGCAGTGGTAACTCTAAATTGACAGTTGTGTCCCTGAAGTCCATCAGGCTTTTTTCTCTGTTAGGGCTTCCTTGTTTAATACAGACCCTGTGCTTAGCTGACAATAGGCAGTACTGATGGCTACTCTTCCCACTCACCTGCTCTGAACTGATCAGATAAAAATGTCTGCTACTGAAATCATTTAACTCTTATTTGAAGGCGAGGATTTCAGTCTCAGAAAGTCTCATTCATGAATGAGCTTTTTTTGGCATCTGTCACCCTGTGGTTTTCTGTTTGCAGGAGCTCGATAAGGAATTGACATCCTCCTTGTTTACCTTGAGATGCAAGTGAAATCATTCACTTCAAAGGGAAACATAAACCACTTGGAAAAATCAGAGACATGGTCAGATTTGTTCTGCAGTTTCCCTTATTTCTAGTAATCATTTTAAATTTTGATTTAGTAAAGAATCTCCAGGTGGTTATGGTTTATTTTAAATCAAGAAGACTTTCATTCCATATATATTTCAAAATGAGTGAAAACTTCTTAATATTTTTATAGGCTTACATATGCTTCCAAAAACCAGGACTCTGGATGTTGAAAAGCAGTATCATGTTTGTAAATCAGGCATTAGACAAATGGACCAGACTGGACACAAACCTCAAGCACAAGTCTAATTACACGTTAAATCCACATCAGAACTCTGCAGAAAAGCACCATACAATAATTAAGGAGCTTTAAGCAAAAACTCAATAATTTTTGGATTACATTGGGTTTTTCTGCAGAGCAAAAAACATGTATTACCACAACCGAAAAACACAATTACAATGAATCCCTGCTTTAATATTTACCTGCATGCTTTAAGTGCTTCAATGTCACATTATCAACAGGGAAAAAACTCAGAATAGCACCATATTCAGGACACATATTTGCTATTGTGGTTCGGTCTGCTATGGACAGTTGGGAAACTCCACTCCCAAAAAACTCAACAAATTTTCCAGCGACATCAGCTTGTCTAAGATGCTGTTGGAAAGAACACACAATACCTGGTATATGAAGGGGAACAGTGCAAGCTGTTTTTGTCACAATTCACAAGTCACGAGCATTTAAAATAAAAAGTTGAAACCCTAAGGCCTATGTTTGAAAAAAAATATTATGAATTATTATTAGTTGAAGAGGATCTATAAGCAAACCACTATAGAGAGGAAAGAAAAAAACCCCACTACTTCAAAGGACTAGCAAACAAAAATGGTTAGAGATTATTTGTACCTTTCTGCACTGCCATGATTAAAGGTATCCTAAAAACACTCCCTGAATTTAATTCATTTCTCAAACACCACCGGCAGTACTTGCACAAATCTCTGTTTTGTTTGAAAAGGCACTGAACTCTTACCTTTGTAATGCTGAGAACAATATCTATAGATGTGGCAAAGGGGCTGACTGTGCCTGTCAGCTCACAGCCCACCACCTCAGGCAGGGTGAGGGTGAGCGGCATTCCCAGCATCACCGCTTCCGTCTCAATGCCCCCGACGCCTGCAGGGAGAGTGGGACACGGCTTGTCACACCTTCACCAACCTGCACTCCGTGTGTTCAGGTCCAAAAACATAATAAACCCCTTTATATTAAACCTAAACACTCATGACAATAAACATATTGCTGCTTTTCTCTCACAAATGAAGGGCATCACTCCATTTCCAACAAAGACACAGCAAGAAACGTAAAAGTTCCACTAAATATTTGCACATCAAAAACAAAATCAAGCAAGACTATTGCTCAAGTTAGACATCACAGTCAACTAGAAAATACATTATCTCTAAAACTGATTTTCTGTGAGAAAATAAATCTTCACACAAATTTCTGCTGTGGAAACAGCACTTAAATTTGAGTATCAGCTGGTTTTTAGTTGTTTTCTCTTTAAATTACAAAGAGTGGTTTCTCAAGGGAAAGAAACGTTATTCAAGATTACCTGTAGACAAAAAAATTCAGAACAATAATTCAAGACAGTCTGTTATGCTTGAGATACAAACATCCAGTGGGAAGAAATATTTTTTAGTGAAGCTTTAGTTGCCTTTCCAAGAGCAATGAAGTTCTGAGCATACTTACCCCAGCCCAAGATACCCAAGCCATTTACCATGGTTGTGTGTGAGTCTGTGCCAACCACGCTATCGGGATGCAGGAAATCTTTCACATCGTCAAAAACCACTCGGGACAAATATTCCAAGTTCACTTGGTGCGCCATTCCAGTCTCGGGTGGAATTATGGAAACATTCTCAAAAACTTTTGAACTCCACTGTAATTTTTCAAAAGGAAGATTCAAAGAGTTGCATTTTTTTCAAAGCTATATTAAATTCTTAAAACATAACTAGAAAGACAAAACAAAACCACAATAAGAGTCCTTGCTATTTACGCAAGTGGCTTTTGTCCCTCTGTCAAACAGAGGTGCGTGATTTCCTTGGCTACATTCTTAATCATCAACAAAAGCTTTCACTCAATTCCTCTGAAAGCTGAATCAGTAATTCATGCCTACCTTTCAAAAGCCAGGCTGCTGAAATGTCTTTCAGTTCACACAACTGATTGCAAGCTCACCTAAGACTGTTATTTGAGACAACAGAACCTAAGCACTCGTATCTATAACAGAATTTACAGCATAATTGAATTTGGGTTTGACACTTCAGGGTGAAATTGCTTGCAGACTCAGGATGGTTCATTTAATAGAGCTGACATGGAAACCTGTAACAAGATTCAGCCTGGCCACTTTCCTCTTTAATAATGTAAAAGCTAATTTGCAGCTTTCAGAATGAAACCTCTAGTCTACATCCATGAAAAGAGTTTTAGATCATTGCAGTGAATTCCTAAACCACATGAAAACAGAGGATAAGGATCAAACAGGAATGCTGCAGAGCCTGTCCAGCAGCAGAGGAGCTTATGTTCACTACAGGACTTCAACTGCCCAGTTTGAGCAACCATGTCTGATCACTGGTCTCCACTCAACACTTCCACCTTCAGGAACCTTTGTTAACCCAGTTATGGATAAATGGCCCTTTCAGCCAGAAACTCACTGTGACCTAAGGCACTCAGCTCATGACAGGCATTAAAAACACTAATGCTTCATAAATCCCCACTGACAAGAACCAAATCAGAGTAAACTTTTTCAAGTTAGAAAGCAAATTTTCTGTTCTTGTTTAAAATCTAACACTTCCAAATAATTACATTTAATTTTTCATCTAAACCTGAATATTCATAGACAAATTATTCTTTAAAAAGACCAAACCACAAAACCTGCAGGTACAGAGACATACCTTAAAAAATTGAAGCCTCTCTCTATTTCTGCCAAATTCCATTTCTTGATTTTTCAATACTGTTTCAGGCCTAGGAAGAAAACAAGTTTACAAGTACTGTCATAATTTATTTCAAATTACAGAACAAGTTGTAATTTTAGTTTGTTTGATGAAAGACTTATTTAAGCCTTCAGGACTCTTTGAAGAGGTTTATTAGAACAAAGTTAATTGCTTCCCTGCAGCAAGCTTTCTGTAAACAGTGAGAAATAGCTGATTTCATATGTGCTGTGTATGAGAACCTGCTTATTCTAGGTATGGTTTACCTGAAGTGTGATCTCAAAAATACTTTAAGAGATCTATTCCAGGCATGTGCTGCAATACACAGAAGCATTTTTACCCCCATCAGCTGATTCACATGCTGCACATCTCAAAACTCCATACATTAAAGAACCAAGATGTACACTATCTCAATTGTAACTATCCTCCATTTTTGTATTTTTCATCCAAGCCACAAGTTTTTCTTCACAAGTACTCATCAGTACAGCCTCATAAAATGAACTATCCTTTCTTACTATGTGTTATTTATTAAGATACTGGTATTTGTTATAGCAGAGTAATCCATAATTTAAGAGGAATAACCTCTGCCTTGAGCAGCTGAACAAGGAAGGGAACACACTTGCTTAGTACCAGGAAGGAAGCCCTCAATTTTTAGAAGTGTATTTTACAGTCAGGCTACTTCCCTTTCCTCTCTGCAGCAGGGTCAGCAGCTCTCCTGCTGCTTCACCAAGCCCCGAGGGACAGTCATTCTTCACAAGTACCACTGCTGGTGTGCTGCCAGAACACCAATATTACTGAAAACATTGCTCATTCTGCATTCCTACACCTGTACTGAACAGGAACATTTCCACATCCATAACGCTACCACAGCACTCCACACAGTATCACTGTGGGATACAGATCTGACCAGCATGGGCAGATAGGGATCTCAACAGTCCATCAGACAGAGACAGCAGCTGAAGGAGAAGGATTATGCATAATTGGCATAGATGGAACAGTGCAGAATGACCTGCACTGTGTTAATAACACAGAAACCTGGGAGAGGCACAGACATGAGGCTCCACTGGGCTACTACACAGGCAGGCTATTTACTGAATTTTAACTCAGTTACAGATGGACTGTGAGATCCTGTACAGGCTGGGGGATGATGTATTCTTTAAGAACAAGAGACACCCAAAAAGTTATTACAAAAATCTACGAGTTGCTTTTAGAAATAAATTAATGCCTCACTGAGTTATTCACTCAGGCTTTCTTTGCAAGAGACAGAGAATTACTCCTATGCTTAGTTGTTGTTGTAAAGAAATAAGAGAAGGACTAATATTTAATTTAAAAGCCACAGCCATAAGCCAATAGGTGGCCATCTGCAGTGTGTTCAGTAAAGCTCTTCTTGTAAAAAAGAAAAATTTATTGTAGACTAATTCTTACCTGCTACATCCGACCTACTTCTAGATACTGAAACAACTTTTCTATGGCATAGGTCAAAACTACAGATGGATGTTTAAAAAATAAAATTTAAAAAAATCACATTTCCCTGAGCTGTCACAGGCAGTGCCCCACAACACAAAGGTACAACACAATTTAGCAAAGGAGCTTTCATACTCAGGCACCGGCTGCAGGTGGAAGGGGCAGAGGATGGGGGTGTTCTCGATCTGCGCAGAGAAGGGTCCTGAGCTGCGGCCGGCTTCCCCCGCACCGCACGAGCCCCGGCAGCCGCTGTGGCCCCGGCACGGGGGCGGCTTCCGCAGCGGTAGCTTCAGCGGGGACAGCCTGGCCAGCGGCTTCTGCTCACCCCCACCGGGGTTGGGAGCGTTCTGGATTGCACTGCAACACCAAACACAGCGTTCAT